GAGAAGAGGAAAGTCAGTTGATGATGTTTTGAACCTTGGTTGGTTCAGGTGGCTGGGACATGTATTACTCATGCTTAGTCACCATCTTCTTCATCGCGCATTGTTAGCTGAAGTTGGTGTAGGGTGGGAAAAAGCTGAAGGCTGATAGACTAAAATAGGGTATCAGTGCATGGTGTCTTTGACTGCTGGTGCGACCCATGTATGGAGATGGGAAATTATCGGTTATGACCCACGTGACAACAGAAACCAGTGGTTAGAGATTCTGGATGATATGGCTCAGAAGCGATGTCAGTGGCGCAGACGTATCAATACATTATCTTAGTCTTAATTGTTATACTGAATTCAGCATTTTCTCATCCCTACATCTTCTCTTTTACTGCCTTTGACCGATTTTTCTTTCGTTCTTCATCTTTCATCTTATTGGTTTGTTACTTGGCGTGCTGACATGAGTTTTGACAACTTGGCCTGATGCGGAGTAATGCCTGGTTCTATGTTGACATTGGTGTTGATGTGTATGTGCGTAAAGATATTATGTTTAGTCTCCTCATGATATTTGAAATGTATGTTTGGAGGCTTTTCTTGTGATGGTCGATTGTAATTCACAATGGTGCGGATGCATTCACTTTTTAATGTTCTTTATCTGCTATGTTTTCACTGAACATGGTTTTCAAGCTCGTTCTCGTCGATTGCACCTTTGTATACTGTGGTATTTTTGTTTTTGTCTCCGTTTGTTCTCTGCATACTGCTGTGATGTGTGGTAACTTGAACTTCTGCACTTATTTGCGAGTTTATCTGTTACGTAAGTGAAATAATGTCATAGGTAATTATAAACTTGAGAATGGTGGTGAGGATTTATGCAAGAGTAATGCAGATGAACAAAAGTTAGATACTTGTTTTGGAAGTAGACCATTCAGCAACTTAGGTTACCTGATGAGAAATGTGGTAGACGTTTCGGACATGTAATTGTTAATGTCCATTCATGTGGGATGTGATACTGCCGGGATACCTAATCCATCTTAGGGGATTGGATTACACTCAGAATCGTTAATTTCAAGTCTAACGTTAAATTTAATGTGACAACTTATGATGTTGACCAAGCTAAGTCATATTTCATTTCTCCTTTGTGGATCCTGAAGGCCATGTTGCCACTTCTTTAGAACCACTGTGTAACACGTACCTTAAGTGAACTCTTCGTGTCCACGAGTGCTTCGATAACATTTAATATTCACCGCCACTATTTTTGAGAAACAGCAGCGTCTCAGGCAAACAATGATAGGACTTCCTTGGTTAAAACCAAACGTTTGGCTGTATTGTATTATTTTAAGGGGATGGGTGAGACAATCCACCTTCTGTCATATCATAGTATTTGTTAGCTAGATAGAATGCAGATAAAAGGGAGTTTGAGTTTGTGATTATTATTAGTCCCTTGGGTTCCTAGTGGAACATAGGGCCTCAGTAGCACGTCTCCAGTGACCTCTGTTCTCTGAGATCTTTTGAACCTGGTCCCACGACAGCCCAGAAGCTCTCATTTCCTGCTCGCACGACCTCCTCCATGTCACCCTCGGACGTCCAACTCGTCGCTTCCCATGGGGATTCCACTCGAGCAACTGGCCTGACGCGTGATGTCCTCCGTCGGCCTTCTCAGTGCATGGCCAATCCATCTCCACTTCTTCCTGCATATTTGTTGCGTGATAGGTTCTTGGTTGGTTCGTTCCCAGAGTTCCTTGTTGCTTATTTTTTCTGGCCATCTGATCTTCAGCAGCGAGCGTAAGCAGTTGTTGATGAATGTCTGTAGTTTATTGGAAATGCCTTTCGTAACGCGCCAAGTCTCTGAACCATACAAGAGCACTGACTTGACGCTGGTGTTGAAAATCTGGATCTTGTTCCTCATGCTGAGTGCAGAAGATCTCCACACTGGTTTCAGGCTAATGAACACCTGTCTTGCTTTTCCGATTCTGACTTTGACGTCCTCATCCGTCCCGCCTGTAGTTGAAACAGTGCTTCCTAGATAAGTGAAGGAGGTTACTTCCTTCAAGTTTCTCCCGTTGACGGTGATTGGAGTTTGTTGTTGTTGTTGATGGTGGTGGTGCGGTATCTTCATCACTTCTGTCTTCTCTATATTCACCTGAAGTCCCGTCTTCTCTGCCTCTTCTATCAACTTGTTAGTTTTTGCCTGCAGATCTTCAAGTTTATGTGACATTAGGCACAAGTCATCGGCGAAATCCAAGTCTTCTAGGTTCTTTTCCGTCGTCCAGTGTATCCCCCTCTTCTCGCTGCCTACTGTTTGCTGCATGATCCAGTCGACCACAATCAGGAATATCAGGGGTGATGGTAGACAGCCTTGTTCTACTCCTGTCTTCACTTCGAAAGCATCACTGAGCTTCCCATTGTGAATTACTTGGCTGGCATGTGGCATCTTCATATAGTTGTTGAATGAGGCGGATAAAGGTTTGCGGTACTCCGTAGTATTGAAGCAGTTTCCAAATTACTTCTCGGTCGACGCTGTCAAAGGCCTTCTCAAAGTCGATGAAGTTGAGGCAGAGAGCTGATTGCCATTCTATGCTCTGTTCTATGATGATGCGAAGGGTTGCAATTTGGTCTGCACATGATTTGTACTTCCTGAAGCCTGCCTGTTCCGGTCGCAGTTTTGAATCCAGTGCCTCCCTTAGCCTCTCCAGGATGATGCGGCTTAATATTTTACTTGCTTTGGGTGGACAGGAGAGTGATTCCGCGCCAGTTCTGGCAAACACTGAGGTCTCCTTTCTTCGGCAGTTTGACAAGGTAACCCTTCTTCCAATCACTAGCCAGGTACCTTCTCTTCCTTCCACACCTTCTGCAATAGTGGTGTGGTGTGAGCATGTCCGCTGCTGTTGTCTCTGCATCTGTTCTCAGTGCTTCTGGCGGTATCCCATCTGGTCCTGCTGCTTTCCCGCATTTCAGTAGCTTTATGGCGTTCAGGACTTCCATTTTCGTTGGGGGATTTATGTTCACTTGTAATTCAGCGGCTGGGCTGCTGGTGGTATTTCTGGACGAAGTGCAGGTGGTGGTGGTGGTCGATTCAAGAGCTTTTTGAAGTGGTCGGCCCATCGTTTCCTCTGTTTCTCTTCTTTTGTAATTAAATTTCCTTCTTCATCTTTTATTGGTTTCATCTGTGTTGGTCTCTTCCCTGATAGCAACCTGGTTATTTGATACAATGTCGTCAGGTCTCTCTTACCTGCAGCCTGTTCTGCTTCACTTGCCAGTGTGCCGTAGTGTTGTGTGTCTTTTGTCTTTGTGTGCACTCTTCTTCACTTCTTTATCCAGTGTTTTATACATTGTGCTCAGTTCCTCTTGTCGTTGAGCATCCTTGCACTGGTTTATCTTCTGCTTCACCATCCTCCTCTCCTCTATCAGCTTCCAGGTATCCGTCGAGATCCATTCCTTGTCTTCTTTCTTCTTCCTTCCTAATACTGTTGTGCAAGTTTCTTTCCACATAGCTTTCAAAGACTTCCAGTGTTATTCCACACAGGTTTCTTCAGGGATGTTGCTCGATGTCTCCCATTTTGTCTTGATGGCTGCCTTGAAGATCTCCTTTGTAGTTTCATCCTTCAGTTTCCGAGTGTTGTACTTGAATTGAGGTCTATCACCAGCTTCCTTGAAGGCTTTTAACTTGATTTGGAAGGTAGGTTCCTTGCACTAGATAGTGAGTGGTCTGAACCTACATCTGCTCCTCTTCTTGACCTTGTGTTAAGTAGACTGCGTCTCCATTTTCTTGAGATTGAGATAAAGTCGATTTGATTTTTAGTGTGTCCTGGTGTCTGGTGAAATCCATGTCGCTTTGTGGATATCTTTGTGCCTGAACACACTGCCTCCAATCACCAAATCGTTGAATGCGCAGAATTCTGCAAACGATTCTCCATTCTCGTTCATCGCTTCACCGAGCGCTTCTCGACCCATGGTTAGTTCTCTTTCTGTGTTTTCCGCTCCCAGTTTGGCATTCATGTCACCCCACCCATTAGAATTTTGATATCGCCAACTGAGGTCTTGTCCAGTGTTGATTGAAGTTGTCTGTAGAAATCCTCCTTTTTCTCTTGCTCTGCATTATTTGTAGGTGCATAACATTGTATGATTGTGACCTTTCTTCCTTCCTTTTGAGTTGAATCTTGCTGTCATGATCCACACAAGGAGATTGGTTCCCACTGCATGAGAGCCTTCGATGCTCTTCAAGGTGACATCATGATAGCCACTCCATAACTCAGTGTGCTCGTGGTTGTCGTCTGGGTGACCGGAGTAGATTATTGATTCTCCAGTTGACAGTTTGGAGAGTCCACTCCCATTCCATCTGCTTTCGCAAATCCCAAGCACTTCGATGTGATACCTTCTCATCTCCTTTGCAATCTGGGCTGCCTTACTGGGTTCAAACATGGTGCGGACATTCCATGTCCCCACGTTTACTTTCGCTTTCATCGAGAGAAGACACATCGGCCAATTGGCTTCCCGAAGGCTTTCACCAACTGGCGTCATTTCGCCTCTCCGATTCCAGCGGGGAATAAGTTTGTTTTCATTTTTTATATTTTGTTTGTGCTTTGAAGTTTGTTTAGCGGTTAGACTTGTTTTCCGGGGTAGGGTTGCTAGCCCTATGCCCAACCTTCCCTCTTTACCCGGGCTTAGGACCGGCTAGTAACTAGTAAACTAGTTAACCAGGCGAGGTTGTGATTACTTGGTTACAATAAATCCCTTAGAATATGTCGATCGATCACTGAAGTTATGTCAGTAATTTTTGTCAAAGCTTGTTGGTCTAAGTTTATGGGTTTTACAACCTGTGTGTCAAACGTCTATCACATGATGTGGATATTACTAAACTAATAACTTTGGTGTATTTTTCATTACAGATCTTGTTGCCCATCATAAAAATATAGTTTACTGTTATATAACTTATCTTCGGGATTCATTAACCTACATGACATGTTTTGAGTGTCTTTTCTGTTTACCATTATTTTATCTGGTTTTGGATTTTGTAGACGGTTGTTACTTTCGATGCTCCACCTACTCTGGACAAAATTTTTCAGAAGATAAGTCAGTTGAATGAACATGTGAATTCTGACAACTCAGTTGCGGACTGGAGATCTTCACTATGCTTGGCTGTCGAACGATCTATTCTACATGCGCATATTTGGCAAACCGACGAAGTAAAATTACCTCGAAGATTTTCTCCTGATTTCCCTACTTGGAAACATAAACCTGAGTATGGAATTCACCCAGAACAGAGTACTCGTTACTTATTTCAGGATTTATTTCGTATTTTGGAATTCCAGGTTAGCCATTTATTAAGAACTACATGACTTCTCTCTTAATTCACTGCAGTTTTGGAAATCATTAATAACATTATTACAACATAAACAAGGTATAGCGAGGGCACCGAGAAATGCGCCACACAAAATAGTATAACAACACTGTGAAGACATAAACGATAGGAAGTGGATAAGTAAGAAAGAAAAACAATAAAAATAGCATGATTAGAAGGGCAGTCCAGTAAGATGCATTTGAAACGTCGTATCCTTTACTTTACAGCAGCAAAAGATAGGAAGAAGCTACAGCATGACCGGAAGTGGTCTAGATTCTGAGCCATATCTGGTAACATCTCAAGCCACTAAGTCGCGTGATCTCTCGGACCCTACCCAGGAAGTTTCGATACACCAACAGATGCTAACTGGATACAACTATCCTTCATCCCACGGTGCCGCGTCATACATTGACCGCTCCTCCGCTTATTCCATCTAATTCCAGGGCTAGCAAACAGTAAACTGTGTGGAAGCTGTTGGGATGACATGCGTAACACATGTCCGAGCCATCGAAGCTGGTGTTTTAAGATGACCACTTATTGAATAAAGATCGCTGTCATGCCCAGACACACTGTCACACCTCAGAATTACGTACATGGTGTTACCACTGGATACGAGCAATCCTACGGAGACAAGTATGATGGGAGACAAACAGTCTTCGCATATCCTCAGCCTGGAGAGGTCTGGTTTCGCAAGCGTAGAGCAGAACCCCCCGCATCGAAACGCTGTAAACCTAACCTTTTACGGTCAAACTAATGTCGCGACGGCATTGAAGGTGGCCCAGAATGGCGTATGCCACTTTGACTTTCGATATGTGGTTGGAAATTTCATCACTGACACCTCCACTGGCACTCACACAACCACCCAGATGCATAAAATTTTCTACTTTTTTCAGCGGATCACCACTGAGGTTGAGCGCAGGTGCAGGCAGGTTCCTAACCTTGCAAAAGTACTTTGCACTTCGATGGTGCAAAGCACATACCATACTTACACTTATGACCAACTGGTTAGCTGTGATTGGAATAGCCTGTGTGTTATCGTACAGTAGGACGATATCGTCCTCATATTCAAGGTCAAATGGTCGTTCTAGATCACCATCACGCACCACCTTAACAGCTGTCTCAAGAATGTCATCCATGGGCAAGTTAAAGAGGAATGGCGAAATCGAGCAACCCTCCCTGACCTGACTACTGGTTTGGAACAATAGAGACAGGTGGTTGTATGCCCTCACTCTACCTGAGGTGTTATTATATAAAGTTTTCAAGATGTTAATAAATTTCCCTCCAACAGATAGTGCCAGAGTACAGCCCTGTCTAACGAATCGAAGGCAGCCCTAATTTCAAGAAACACAGCGACTCTTGACCTGCAATATGTTTGGAGACGCTCAAGTATCAGGTGGACGGTAAACAAGTGGTCGACGCATGCACCAGCTGGAAGAAACCCGGCCTGCTCCTCTCGAATCATGTCCCTACATGTTTTACAGTCTGCGGAGTATGATAGTGGCCAACATTTCCGACGCGACCGATAACAGACTAATACACAGATGACTGTCACATACATTACTTAGACCTTTTGTAAAGATGGGGTTAACTATGGCTTCACTCCAGAGTGATAGAACGCTCTCAGTCTGCCATACCTTTTCAAACGATCTATTTGGTACTTGACTAGAGTCGTCCCTCATTACTTAAGAAGAACCGTGGGTAAGTTTACTGGGTCGGATGCCTTGTGGCGTTTCAAAACGTGGAGTTCCTTATGGATCTCCGCTTCGTTAGGTGGGTCAGTGTTAACTGACCATTGAGCATGATACACTGAAGCTGACAACACTGGAGCAGTGGGTCAACTGAACTGCTTTTCGAAGTGCTCCCCCCAGCGTTCCAAGTGTCACAGACCGTCTCATTGACACGGCTTCTTATTGCCGATTGCTCGGACGACCTGGAACAGGTTCCGACTATTGCCAGATATAGCTGCCGCCCCATCTCACTCACGTTCTGACCACGAAGCCTCACGGTTCTTACTTAAGCGTTGTGTGGTCTTTCGCGTAAGAGACGTACGTAAGCCATCGTACTCCCAATCCACCGGAATGGTCCGACGGGCGTCAAGAAGTTGCAGGGAGCTTGAAAAGACTCAGTGTTTATTATATGGACGTTCTTCTAAGCCGCAAGCGGCTTTACTCGCCATTTTCATGGCGTGTTACAAGTACAGCAAATGTTTGTCTACTCTTTCTGGAGGATCGGTAAGGTAGCCTTTACTCTAGCTTGAATTGGTATTTAACTGGGATACCAGGTACAACTAATTTGCTTGCATCAACTTAATCAGCACGACGATTTTGATGACCACCAAAACGCAAGATGATCTTAGCACACATTAGAGCATAATCAGGGTTCAGACAAGTACCACATATGGAACGGCAGTCATGTATGCATCCACGCCATCGGTAGCTGATTTCAATACAATCTATTTGAGTTCAGGCTTGAGTAGCAGAGGGAAGATGCTAAGTAGCACAACGACGATGGCTGTGACGAAAGTTGGTGCTGGCTAGAAATAGGTTGCAATCTACACCAAACTGAAGAAGGCTATCCCCATTATCTGACTTGTGACCAAGTAGTCCCTGCTAGCCACCTAAACGACTCTTCTCTGAGTTTAGACACCCGACATGCGTATTCAAGTCCCCGTATTGCACTACTATATCTGTTGACCGCACTTGGTTGAGAAGGTCGCTCAGTTGATGGTACAATTCATCCTTGGTTGGATCCGGGCTGTAATCCGTCGGAGCATAAGCTGAGATGACAAAGACATCGTTTCGCTTGCGGTCACTTCTTACTCGGAATGGATTTTCTAGTCTAACAGCACACAAACGACTTTTAATAGGAATCCAGTTGAATAGTCCAGCTTTGGATCAAGCCCTTAGTGCGACACTGACACCATCGGCGCCGGTTGTCGATGCCGCATGGTCCCCGTATAAGTGCACATGTTCGAGCTGATAGTTGGGGAACTAATTCGAAGCACTTAACTGGAATCTTGTGTGCGGGTCTTTAAGATGCACCATACATCAATAAATATAACCGTCGTTTGTATTCATCTTTCTACTGTTCTTAACAAAGGAATATGAATATGGGCTTGTTAATTGAAACTGTTTTTAAAAACTAAATTTTTTAGATCAACTTCTCATGACGGTATATTTTTCTGATATAGGTACTGCTTTATTTTGTTCGGTTGTGTGAATAAAAACGTATGAAGAAGGTGTATGTCAATAAAATGAAAATGAGGGTTGGTTCGTATCGGTTCGTTTCTGAACTTCGCATCAGTAAAGCAAAGAGAACTGAACAGAAGGAACAACAAAAATGAGAAAACGTAATATCAGCCATCTCAGAATAAGTTACGAAACTAAAAAGAAGGACATTAGTGTGTGACTGTAAGATTTTCAAGATTTATTTTTAGACTACCCTTAGATGCATGTACTCATCTGCGGTAGATTTTGAGCGAAATCACCTGGTCGGGTTTTCCAAGTTCCTCAAATCGATTATTAGGGAAATCATGTAATATAATGTAGAATTGATCGCAATCGTATAGTTGCATCAATGCCTTATTTTCCTCTCAATTCTGCAATTATATATGTATATACTTTATCTGCTTTTCGTTTCTCCCTATAAACCTTTTCTGACGAATAGGGATTTTATTTGTTTTAGCTTTCTCTTGTTCACTCCTCCCTTAATCTACTGGTATGATATGCAGCTGTACCAGAGGCGATGCTAGTTATTCTTGTTTGCCTATCTGATATCTTAACCATTGATTTTAGTTTCCTCTCGAACCCTGGAATGTTCTTACACGACGGAAGTCGTCAATGAGATACATCATGAATTTGTATCACGTTTAAGTCTGATCACCCTTAGCTTTTCTCGTTCTAACCATATATCTTGAATAAAGTTTCAAATCTACATAAAGGAGTGAGCAATTTATTCTTCAGCCATCCTAATGGAAGTTGGTTAGCAAAAGCGTTGACGTCATTTGCATAGTACTCTACGTCTTACCTACTCAGTAACTATATGGCGGTTCTCCTAAAACGCAACACATCAAGCTGTATATGTACTGTCCGAAGCACTTCTGTTACCCAGGTCGCTAGTAGCTAGCTTTGATTATCCGAATGGTGAACAGTTGGTGAAAATACTGCTTACCCGCAATCCCAACTATGACAGTTTGTTTGTCGACCTAACTCATCACTGTTATCTTCGTTATGACTTTGTTTCTACAGGTTTTGGGCACTTTGTGTTTGTGATAGTGGATTAGTGGCTCATCGGTTTACGGAGATGACTTACCATCAATGGGTCACAGGTTCGAGGCCCGCCCCACATATCGAAATGTAGACGACCAAGTTGTATCACTAGCCCCCACACAACGAATGTAGCTCACTGTCTACTGCACGAATATGCACAAGGTAGATGAGTGCATTCCAGTATGTTTATAATAGTATTTTGACCATCAGAAGAGCACATCTTGTTTTCACTTGCGCTGGTTTCATGTACAGTATACATATGCCTTCAGTAATGAGCTGTCTTAAACGGAGAAAATGCTTTGGAATATATATTTAGCTTAAACATTTTCTTTCTACTTATCTTGTTATTTACGTCTGAATGCAGTAACCTTCACAATTTGGCTTGTGTTACTCTTTAGACTCTGCTCGTCTTCTATAAATGAGACGATTTTTTTCCTGCCTAGTTTATCAAGTCTGAATTAGTTTACCTTTGTCTCTCCCTATCAACCTTATTCACAAAGCTGTTTTGTGTTAGATTGTAACTGATTTATTCGATTTCTTGCAAGGGCGGTTGGTGAGTGCTTCATGACGTTGACTGCGGTGTTGTGCACATGTGTTTCTTCTGCCAAACACACAAAACATTACAATATCATCTGTGACCTCCGTTTTTGCTAGTCATTTCTACCGAACTTGTGTTAGAATACTTATCAAATAAGATATTCTTCTAACTATCAAGCTTAAGCCTACTTATTGCAACACTATTTTATGAGGAGAAAACTTTTATGCACCATAAACCTTAGTGTTTGATATTTTTCTCATCTTATTTTTGTGTAGTAATTTGCTCCGTTCTACTACATGGCTACAATATACAGATACTGAATGGGGGAAGACATGAAAAGAATTGAGGTGCTTGACCACTTTCACCTTTATAGCACAGGTCCCATGTCATGGTGCTATCACATCAGTAAAATGGCAGTCAGGTATAGAGTATTAGGTGAAGGTAGTAGCTCAGTTTATGAGTTTGTGATCCATCATCCACTCAGATGGCTGGGACATGTGCTATCCATGTTTATCCACCGTCTGGTGCGTTACAGAATGTTAACTGAAGTAGGTTTATATCGGCAGTTAGTCCAGGGTTCTAGCGTTAGCGGATAGAAAATCGCTGGTTAAAAGGTAGGCACATCCACCTGACTAGTCCCAAACAGGGTAAAACGCGCTTCCTGAATTCCACTGCTAGCCACTATCCATCATTTATATAAAATTGAAGTTGGTTTAGCCTAGAAAACGTTTAAAGGTGGCTTCAGTTCATGAAGTCTTTGATTGCTGGTCTGAACCGTATGGGGAAATGCAGACATCTCTGTTGGAGTCCGCGTGACAACCAAAAACAGTGCATAGAGACCCTAGGTGATATGATTGAGAATTGATCCCAGTTTCATAGATGTATCTACACATTTCATCTTCATCGCATACTGAATTTTATTATTAATTCACGCCTTTATGTTCTCTATCCACAAATTTCTATCATTTCAGACTACTGTTTTTCTTATTTCTCTATCTTTCATGTTTGCACCTTTGGTGCTGATGCGCTGATATGAGATGTGGCAACCTCTAACGTTACACAATAATGCCAAGTTCCATGTTGATATCGGCCGATTGACTGACTATGAATTTATTAACTTTCTTTTTCATACTCTCTGGATCTCAACTGATTGTTTGTTTACTGATGGATAAATAAGTCAGTGCACAATGATAAATCTATTACATCCTAATGCCTTTATGGATCATTGTATTTCGTCCAATAAAGTATACTATTTTAACATTTTCCAGGGAAAATTCTCTCCTACTTTTTTACCATCATCTTTTCAATTTCCTCTTCTGTAGTACACTTCCTGTTTTAAATTACTTTAGGCGCCTTATTATATGAAGTATGCAGAACTAACTCCTATTCACAACCAACTTTCCAATAGTTTGCCTTTCCGATGGACAACTCGAGATCGTTTACTGGAGACATACTATTACTGGGGCTCAAAGAAACGTCGTATCAACTTTTCGGAACAACATGATTTGGCAGTTTTCGGTCAGACACCTGCTCCTTTGTTCCTGTCTGATAATGATACTATTCACAAGTTAAGTGAAGCCTCTGTTATGCCTACTGCAAACCTGGGTCCTATGTCACCTTTGATCGATCTCACCAGCACTTTGTATTACAGGGAAGATAGTACTAATGGATGGCTTGGCAATCAAGTAAGCATGAATTGTCTTCGTTTTTCTCTAGCCAGATCTGAAAAATTGATTGCAGTCACCTTTATTTACTTTACTAATTAGCAAAAGTTCAATTTTGATATAAGCTGGTATTTGTTAGTTTTCCAAAACACAAAATTGGGTTTGGTTTTTTGATGATTTTTTTATGTTATGCGCTTACGAAATTAATGTATTTGCCTTTCAGGACGGGGCATATATCATATAGTATCACTCACTTTTCGCTGTTATGTTGAAGTGAGTGTTTGTCCTTTCTATAAAATATCCTCATTGAAGAAACGGACAGTATATATTCCAACGACAGCTAACCAAATATTGGTTCATTGATGCACATGTAGAATGCAGTATGGTCACTAATTGATTTTTATACTTCAGTTTCAATCACTTATAAGTAATCTGGTGTGTTTGTGTCAATATTAGTATCTGCATTGTTTAACACTGTATGATAGGGATTTGGTTTAAACAAATAAGCATAACTGATACTCGTGTATTTAAAATGAATGCGAAAAAGCAAGATTTAAGGAATACATAGATTTCAGTAGGACTCGTCAACTGAATACCCTACATACTTGATTATAAAAAGAAAGCTGTTTGAGCGAAGAAATATTTGTTTCCAATTAGCTTCTCATCGATACCTATCTACTAATAATATATAGAATTTCAAAATATAACCTGATAAAATACCAGTCTAGTAATGATAATTGTTGTTCAGTAGGTTATTAATCTCAACATTTCAAGAGAGTTATAATTAATCAACATAATTATAACATTAGCTAAAGTATAAACCAATTACAGAGTAAAATTTATTATTTTTTAAAATCTAACTTCATATTTTGTATAACGGTAATTAACCATAAGAGAAAATGAATTATTTCAGATCATCATTTATTGACAGTAGGTAAAAGAAACAGCGAAAATGAACAAGATGGCTAAATATAAGTGTAAAACATGGGCACTGTGCTAAAATGTAATTCCATATTAGATAACAGTGATACACTGTTATTGACTGAATAAAGCTTCAAGCATGCATAATTGCTCATAATCATATCAACGTAGTCAAACAGCTCTCAACATCTGATTTTATAGTCCTATCACACTTGATATTCTTCGTTTTTAGTGGCAGTAAAATTCTCCACATCTCGGTATGTGTTACATCATTCCTGTTGCATGTGTTGGGAGTTGGTTGATTCGATGAAAAAAGATTCAGTGACCAATCTCTCTCCCTACTTAATTATATTGGACTTAAGTACATTGGTTTTATCGCACCTATCGTGTTGTTGTGTATCAATGAATGCATTGCAATAGCCGAGTGTTTTTCTAGGTTATTGATCTTATTGGGGTCCGTCACTATACATTTTGCTGAATTCCTGTGTTAAGGATAATCTAACTGACCCTGATCTGTTAGTTTTACCTATGTACTTGACCTTACAGTCGTTGCATGAAACAGTTAAAAGTTTAGACTAGTCAATTTCTACGAGTTAAAATTAAGAATTAGTGACCAAAATATAGAAGAGGATGAAAAAAATGGTTAGTTTAGATATAACAGATCTTTATAGTAAAATACGAATCAATATGGCATCAGAGGTAGTCAGAAACTAAATATTGGCTCAGAACTTACTTGCAGAACTAAGGTATTGGTTGGTGAAATCATGGAAGGTGTAGAGTTGTGCCCGACCTCTACAGTCCTTAAGTTTAAGGAAAAAATGTACAGAGAAACAGGGATCCATATCCACGATCATAGTAGATATATTTATAGATAGTTGGGAAAACGTGGCTTAACAAATGTCAAGTACTGCACCTAAAATATGGTGGCGATATGTGGATGACACATTCACGGTGTTGAGATTGGAACATATCAACAATTTCCTCACATAAACTCAGTAGTAGGCACAATCCAATTCACTTACGAGATACAAAATGAACAAGGAGAATTACTTATGTTGCATTGCAGAGTAAAACGAAGAACAGTAGATGATTTGGATACTACCGTCTACAGGAAACCGACACATTCTAGTAGGTATCTAGACTTCAAGTCGTCTCATTCAGTGGCAGTAAAGGCAGGTTTAGTCAAATGTTTAAATAATGGAGCTAGAAAACTTACTAGTCATTGCAAGAACTTAAACGACGAATTGAAACACATGAAACAGGTATTAATAATTATCCTGTATTCGTACGAATACATAAGAAACAAAATAATAACAGTAAAGCGAATTCGAATAATAGCGACAAGGTGTGTAGAAATAAGTTCAAAGCCTCTAATTCTGTTACTATATAGCGAAAAATCATTTAAGATTTTACGTAGGAATTTCAACAAGGCTGGAATCAGGGTGACATTCGAATCTACAAACTCAGAAATGAGCTTTTGTCGGCCTAAGGATCCGACAGATGCAACTAAGCACAATAATATAATCTACCAAATTCCAGGCAATGACTGTGAAGTCAAGTACATAGGTAAAACTAACAGATCAGGGTCAGTTAGATTATCCTTAACACAGGAATTCAGCAAAATGTATAGTGACGGACCCCAATAAGATCAATAACCTAGAAAAACACTCGGCTATTGCAATGCATTCATTGATACACAACAACACGATAGGGTGCGATAAAACCAATGTACTTAAGTCCAATATAATTAAGTAGGGAGAGAGATTGGTCACTGAATCTTTTTTCATCGAATCAACCAACTCCCAACACATGCAACAGGAATGATGTAACACATACCGAGATGTGGAGAATTTTACTGCCACTAAAAACGAAGAATATCCGGTGATAGGACTATCTTTGGAGTTGGTCTGTGGAAGATAAGACTCATTCTGGAGCACGTTTTAGGATAATGAAGACGCTTTGGTCTGAGCTTATGTTTCCCTGCGCCTAAATAAAGGCAGAAAAGCCATGACATGAAGACCATTGCGAGTGAATCTTGACAACGAGGGTACTATATGATCGTAAAGCGTGACCACACAAGATGGAGGACATAAGTAGACAGACTTCAGGCGTTCAATTGATGTTACCTTAGCAGCTTATGCCATGTCATGGTGTCACCTTATTGGAAACATGGAAGATAAGTTTAGAGTAACAGGTAAATGCGGTTAGTGCGTTGATGATTTTGTTAACTTTCATCGGCTCAAACGGCTAGAGTATATGGTACGGTCTTGTCTGTCGTACTTTGTTAGATGATGTAGGTTTATTCTAGAAAAGGTAAAGGACAGCTAGACTAAAATATGACATGTTTGCATGAAGTCTTTACCTGTTCGCCTGCGTTGTGCAGAGAAATATGGAATTCTTCGTTACGTTTGGCGTGACAGCAGAAACCATTGTTCGGAGACTGTGAGTGATGTAGCTGTAAGTCGATCTGAAGAGCACAGATATGTTCACACATCTTCCCAATCTTACATTTCATGGCTATCTTCGTCATGGATTCATTCCTCCTTTCTCTTTTCATGACTTTCCACTTTTTCCAGTGCTTCCTCCTTTTCCCCCTTTATCTTTCCCCCTTATTTCGGCTGGAAAGGTAGCTCTGCATATAATGGTAGAAGTTAATTGGCTATTTCAGTCGTTGCTAGGGTGTTGCCTTCAAAGTCAATCGATACTTTCCATTTACAAGACGGAATGGTCAAGTTACTTGGTCATTACTGCGTTACTACTCTGTTTCATTTTGTTTAAGAAAATGGGATTTAGCTCTAAGTGTCACTCTAATATGAGTAAAAGGAAGTCATTAGATAAAGATAAGACATCATTAGTATCTCATTTTTATTTATCTTATCTTAGTTTTCGTATATATGCCACGCAAAATATCCTATCACTACTCAGTTAACGTTAAAAAAACCCTAATTAACCTAAACAGCTATTCATTTAAGAATTGGTTTAATTTCCCTTTTCCCATCTTTAATTAGGTCATTTAATGCTATAAGCAGTATATTTTCCATGCATATTGTATCACTAGTATAATACAATTTGAAGCAGTTTGGTCAGATGACTGTCTTTTCATTTATCTCTTCTCTCCAAAGTATTCAGAATTCGTCTTCAGTTTTTAATTTTTTCCATTTCATCCCAACATTTCGTGTTTGAAGATTTTCATGTTTGAATTTTCAAACTATTTTAATGCTGTCTAACCATAGGAGTTACCAGTTGCAACTGCAAATTCGATTTGACATCGAAAAGGTAATTATGAAACTGAAACTGCACATACTATCAATTTTATAAGAATTTTCGATCTGATGTTTCGTTTTTCTTATACTGTTAACTATACACAGGAGTTTTGCTTGAGAATCACAAAGACTTCAGATTGGTTAGTGTGAAGAACTTTCTAGCTTTTTGTTTTTAAAGCCATCTGCATTATGCGGACAATATTGTCGTCCTGAGTGAAGACGCTGAACGAATGCAGTGTCTTCTAAACGCGTTGAGCAGAAATCTGAGTATATTTGGTTGCTATACATTTCGCACCCGTTTAATGTAAGATGATGCTGAAGGACTGATCTGCAACCACTCCCATTTTGATGATAGGGAGTAGTGATGGAATGCGTCGACCACTTCACTTAATCGCGAAGTTGCATCGGCCCGGGTTGGTTGCTGGTGAAATCTCAGGTTGCATAAAAAAGGCATTCGCCAACTTGCATCACCTGTAGCGTCGGCGAGATATACGGTAATCTATCAAAAGACGATTATTCCGCTCTACAGTTCGTTCTGTTCTGTTACACAGCTGTGAGCCATTAGCTTTGAAAATAGAAGATATGAAGCGATTGCTGGGTTTTGATCACAGATGTCTTCATAGGATTATTGGGATCACCTTATGAGCAATATTGAGGTCTGGCGAAGAGCACTAGGTAAGACAAGCAAGTTGGTTGATAAGATTATGAACCTCAGTTGACTGAGATGGCTTGGACATGTGAACATGCTGAGCCACCGATGTGCTAGGGGAATTTGGGTTAGGTTGGAAGATGTGTCATAAGTCAACGAAGTCCTTAACTGTTGGTCTGAGCTGTGTG